CGCCCCGCCGCCTGCGCGCGCATATTGAAAGTGAAATTAGAGCAGAGTCGCGGTGGGGTCCTGGGCAGGAGGGGACCCGCCCCACTGCGACCTGGGCCCGCCAGGTCCAGAAGTTCCACTGGCTCCCGAAGCCTCGCCCAGCGCGCAGAAGTGGTGCCGCCCGTTTTCCTTTTCCTCCATCACCAACGCGCCCTAGCGGTGATAGCTCTCCTGTTTCTGGGTGGAATGGGCATCACCCATTCCTTCAGATGACCCATTCACTTGCGCCAGGCCAAGGAGGTGCCAGGCACAGGACACTGGGGTGAACAGGACCCTTTGGGAGCATCCCACAACCCCAAAGCTGACGCAGTATTTTGTCACAGGCTCTCAGGCAAGAGAAGGGTGAGATGGGGATGGCTGACAGTAGCTGCTGTCAGTAGTGGGTTCTTAGAGAACCCACTTTCTGATGGCAGCAAGAGAGAAGTTAGGGTTTGGTGGGAGAAACCCCAAGGGCCTGGAGGAAAGGCCCAGAGAGAGGACACTGCTCAGCGGGAGCAGCCCGGTCCTGGAGGCAACAGAAGCTCCCAGGGTCCCAACCTGACAGGGAAGGAAAAGTGGGTACCAGAGTGCTTCCACGGGTAGCAGCAGGTTCCAGCTCCAGAAATAATATCAGAGCAGTTAGGGAGGCGGGGAAGAGAGAAGTGGATTTAGGGAGCGGGATGCAGGCATTGATGAGGGTAGTGGGCACCGTGCTAAGGAGCACAGTTCTATTCTGAGGGTGGGGAGGTGTGGTTGGGTTTTCAGGGTGAAACATCCCTTCAGTGGTATTGTGATCCCAGGAGAGCAGAGTAGCGGGAGCATTTGGCAGCCTATGGCCACATCTCCATGCTGGACAGAGAACAGTGGGTGGGCAGAAGGGATTCTCAGGGTGGCGACTGCCCACAGTCTGTTGACTTCACAGTGGGAGGCATAGGAAGGTATTGAGGATGGCCAAAGGGAGACTGTTCCAGCTCCTGCAGCCTGGGTCACTGTAAGAGGAGTGGAGTTGGAGCAGTGAAGTTGTACTTCAGAGGTGCTGGCTGAGAGGTTCTTATTTCTCCCCTAAGCATTAGTCACTCTGCCGATGTAGAGAGGAGGGATGTTTTGGTCACCAACTTGGAGCTTTTGCTTTGATGTGTCTGGCTGCCAGGGTCTGCCTTTGTACAGAAGCACCAGTTTCTCCAATGAGAAGCCTTTGGAGACACAGAAGAGAGGAGTGGGTGCTCTTCTTCCTTTCCTCTGGTCTCCATTTAGGTCTGGATGGAGGAGGTCAGCATATTGGCTTGCTATCAGGACCTCTCAGCAGGTTCAGCCTCTGCTGGAGGCCATGGACAGGTGGATGGAGAGGACCCTAGGCTGATGCAGGCCCTTCTGAGTCCTGGCATTAGCCTGGCCTGGTAGATCATGTGTTTGAAGGTGATGAGGCCCCATCCTAGGGACTTTCAGGTACATGTAAAGCAGGCCCCTTCCAATGCTGCTTTCTGAATTGTCCATGGTGCACAGACCAATCCATTGTCAGAACAATTGCATTTAGTAGTTTGTGGGAAGGAAGTAAATGGCATAGAGACCTGTTGCACCACATGGGTTTAGGGTGGAGTTAAGTGTACTTCATTTCAACAAAGTCAAGCTGGTTGCAG